CTTTAACTCTTCATCGCTCTGATAGCGACTAAAAATAATCTAAAGAAAGATCAGATTTATCTCTACAGTCTGTGTCGTTAGCTGCTGTAACAATGCTCTGTTCACATTCAGACATCCCCCCTCTGACATCACTTCCTGTTTCTTCACATGTAAATATCTCAACAACTGTTCATCTGAGTGATGTGAAATTTGATTTGCAATATCATGTCAAGGTTATTTTTCCAAAAATGCATTCATGTTTATTACGAAAATTTGAGGTCACAGGCACTTTAAATGCTTTTTGAAGCCACAGCTGGTGCTCTGTTGACAATATGATCATACAACATGAAAAKGTTCTGATTAAACCCCAAAACGGGTTTCCTTTCTTTGACACAATAAACACTTATTTATAAACAAATTTAACTCAATCAATCACCTCTTTTGGCCCTGCTGAGAAACAAAGTACTGCAGTCTGTAAAACAATATTATAAGTTAATTTAAAATAAATGTGGAATTACAAACAAGCCGAAGTTAAAGCTAAATGCCAAACCATAAAACACCAGCTTATATGTTTATGACGTTGTTAACACTAAAGACGTAACTACAGTAAATTTAAATTTCTAATATTTTTCGCCAGATCCGGCTAACGTCATAGTACTCACACAAAATAAACATTAAACCCTGATAAAAGCGAGGTTTAAAAAAAAAGTCTGTAAGTCTGTAAAACCTCACCCATTGTGTCAAACCCRCCGCTCATCATCCATTCACTCGTGATTACCCCCGTGCTGATACAAACTCACGGCTAACAACTGAGGCTAACTGTTTACACCAGGAGCTAACGCTTCTGGCTCCGCCCCTTTAGACGGTGGCCGATAGGCGCAAACGCGCTGCTAATGAATGAACGAAGATGCACAACACACACGCACACGCGCGCACACACACACGCACGCACACGCGCGCGCACACACACACACACACAAAACAAATGCAGCAGGAAAAAAATGCAGAGTTGTAAAGTAACTAAGTGCAAATACTTCTTTACTGTACTGAAATAGAATTTTTGGGTATCTGTAGTTTACTTGAGAAATTATTTTTCAGCCTACTTTTTACTTCTACTTCTTACATTTTCACACAAGTATCTGTACTTTCTGTCCTGATGCATCTCAGCAGGGTTATATATATATACACTCACCGGCCACATTAGGTACACCTATCCAACTGCTCGTTAACACTTAATTTATAATCAGCCAAT